CAATTGTCATTGTTTGTCAGGTGATTTATTCGTCTACGACGAGGTCCACAGTAACTCTTATCTAGAGTTATCTAAATAAACGTCTATAAAGCCGCCAAATCGATTCACCTTACTTTTGCGTTACGAATCATTATTATTTGTCTCTCTATTACGCAAATAACCGTACACGTGTCACTCTCTCTCTATTTCCAGAAATTTCGATTTCCCGTTTCATTTCCCAGTCACCGTGAAACTTGTTTTTTTCCGGGAGAATCGAATCCTTTAGCTTTCTCTTCGGGTATATCGAAATTCTTCTCGTTTCCGGTCGCGTCTGTCTCCGTTTCCTAGCTTCGGAGCTTTTGTGAATTTCTTAACCTTGATCTTCCTCTGTGATTCTTTGTCTCGGATTTTTGTTTTCGCTGCTGCAAATCAGAGAAATTTGTTTCTGGAAGTGATAAGATTTCTCGAAATCGCTTCAGGTTAGCTGTTTCGGATTCACTGTTGTTTTTTTTCCCTTCCTAATTTGATTAGCATGCTTTGATAGGAATTACAAAAGAAGTGGGAATTTAGCGAATTGGGTGTTTGATGTTATGTTACCATTCATAGATTCGTTCCTTTTTGGGTGTACTAAACAGTTTCAGATTTGGTTTTTACATTTGGATCCTTATGCGGTTTTTATAATGTTGTGCGTGTGTGTATTTCATCTGACTTCAATGGTTTCCACAAGCAAAATATTTTTCTGTCCCCAATAGTTATTGATGCTAAAGGAGCCTTTTGTTTAAGGAAATTAATTGACTTGTTTTGATGGTTCTGAGATTTTGTTTGGTGTATTATACAGGGAGTGATTGGAATGGAGGGTCCGGAAAGATGAGAGATTATTAATGCGTATATATTCTTTGATGTGTTAATAGTTTGCTATCTTACGTCATCGGTGAAGATAATCGAGAAACGGGAAAAGAAAGTGGTTTAAGAAGATGGCAATGTTGGCTTCCCATTTCGGCTCTTTAACGTCTAAAATGTATTCGGTGTCCACTTCTGATCACGCCTCTGTGGTTTCACTGAATCTCTTTGTTGCCCTACTATGTGCTTGTATTGTGATTGGGCATCTTTTGGAGGAGAATCGATGGATGAACGAATCCATCACAGCTTTATTGATTGTAAGTTCACTTCAACTATCCCTTCTTTGGGGTAGAATCACGGAGCAGCTTTTACAGTTTTGCTATCATATCAATGTTTCATCATTAATGACTTTTAAGCAATTTGGTTGCAGGGGCTTGGCACTGGTGTAGTCATTTTGTTGATTAGTAGAGGGAAAAACTCACATCTGTTGGTCTTCAGTGAAGATCTTTTCTTTATATATCTTTTGCCACCCATAATATTCAATGCAGGGTAAGTTTCTACGTCCAGATTG